ATAATATATAATATAGAAAAATGAATAAGTATACTTAGGTGAATATAATTTATTCTAGGGCTGGACAAAACTCCCGAACCGAATCGAACCCGACGGTTCTTCTTAAGTTAAATACCCGAATGGGTATTTGAATCAAGAATCGACAGGTATGGTTCTGTTCTCAGTTCTAGGCCAAGACCCGAAGAATCGAATAAGAACCGAATCTTTATAATTTTTTAATTAATTTATTTTAAATAAGTAAAATTATTTTATTTTTTCTAAATAAATTTGTTAATTAGTTAATTTAATTCAAACCACAAAATATGATTTTCATATTTCTAATTTTCAATTCAAAATCAACTTAATCAAATTGACCTTAATTTTATCCAAATATGTTATTCTACTGTAGTGTCGTTTTTATCGAAGAAAATCGAATTAAAGCTCTACAACATCTCTCTTAACTATTTTGAGCTCGCTATCTTTCTCTTTCTGTGATTTTAATAATCAAATTTATGAAGGATTCAACAAAGAGAGACGTGAAACACATAAGATTGAACTACGTTATTTTGTAAGAGCTAATATTGAACATATCATTAATTAAATTAACGTAACTTTGTATATATTAAAAAATATTTAATTATAATACGGAATCGAATGGAATCGAACCGGACCGAACCGAACCGAATGGAACTGAACTCGAACGGTTCTGTAATTAAATTTGGACCCGACGGTTCCACTTACTAAATACCCGAAAATTTCGGGTCGATTTGATTCTCGTTAGAACCGAACTGAACCAGACCATGTCTAGCCCTCATTTTTTCATTTCTCTGTCTGTGTCATTTTCATTTTACCTTTTGAACGGGAAAATGACGTTGTTTTCCTTTCATTCATGCAAGCAAATTGACTTTGTCCTTATTTTAATCATTGTCCTTATTTTCGTCATCTCTTTCTCATTCGTCCCATCCTTCTGTTTCCTCACTGTCTTCAAGTTGCGTGTATATTTTGTTCGGCGATAGACCTGTTGTTGTAGGTGGGTTTCATTTTTACTTTTATTTTGTTTTTCAATATATTTCCTATTGTTCGGGTAATGGAAGTGTGTGTATTTTTTTGGCTTCTTATATGAATGTTTATAATTGGTTTAAGAGTAGACGTGCTTGTTTAAGAAGGCTGGACTTATCCATACAAGCACATGATTCTGAACTTGTAATTCAGCCAATGGTACAAAAAGACAAATTGCATAAGAGACATATAGGTATGATTTGTTTAAATGTGATTTCTTGTTGATTTAATATTTTTTACTTTCTTTTTTACATCATTTTAACATAAATATTTGGTATTACAGAAGTATCTACAAGTTCTACACATATTCCAGGAAGAAGGATGAGATGTTTTCTTGAGTTCACAACAGGTTTCGTAGATTGAATTTTTTTTATAATTTTTTTTTTTGCATTCGACTATTTATTTGGTCATGTTGTAGTGCACTTTCTTTTATTTTGTTTTGTAAAATTATTTTTAATCCAATTTTTGCACTTATGTTGTCTTTCTGCGATCTTATACTAATTTTATTATTCTAGATTCTATTGATTAGTCTGTCGAATTACAGAAGAATCTTTATGTTGATGAAAGCATTAGTGTGGAAAAACAATTTGAAAATGATAATATGCAATCTCAATGTGGTTCACATGTTCCTATAATTTTAGATCATTCTAAGAGAATTGATATACGAAATATTCCAGTTGAACCTTATATTCTTCCGTCTTGTACAATTTGTAAACATTGTGGTGCAAAAAAGTTTTACAAAGAAAGTAAGAGTTTTTGTTGTTGTGATGGAAATGTTAAATTACAGCTGAACAGTGTTCCCTCTGAATTGTATGAGCTATTTACTTTATTTCATGTGAAGCGATTGCTTTTAAAAAAAGTTGCTCGTGCTTATAACAATTATTTTGCATTCACTTCATTTGATATTAAATATGATAAAAATTTGTACAAGAATAATAGAGGTGTGTATATGTTCAAAGTTCAAGGACAGGTATACCATTTTATAAATCCACTTCTACCAACTGATGGAAATCCTGTGTATTTGCAGTTATACCTTTACGATACTAAAAATGAAATTAGTAATAGACTACAAATTTCAGATAGGTAAAGTGAATCAAGTTTGAAAAAGTTAATAGATATCTTAAAGATGAATCCATATTGTCGTTTCTTTCGATCATTAAGTGAAGTTTATGATTTTAATTCATGCTGTATCGTGCTGAGGTTTGATCTGGGTCTCGACTAGAGAGTATATAACATGCCATCATGTGAACAGGTGGCTGCAGTTTGGGTTGATGAAGATCCATCTGCAAACATAAAGATTCGTGATATATTAATTTATGGACATTCCAATACTGCACATAGAGTAAATTACTACATGGCTATTATGATCCACTTTAATATCCATTAATATTTACCTATTGGGAACCTGGATGGCATAAAGATATCGAAAAAGTAAATTTGAATACTTCAATAGTCCATGAAAATTTCATACAAATCAATCAAATTGATTTGGCCGAATAACTTATAAAGATGGAAGATCGTGGTAAGTTTTATTACCATTGAAGTTCTTTAATTTGTTTAGAGAGCATAAATGTATTGTCATTTTTAGATCTGTCTTTGTGACTTTAATTTTTTTTTCCTTTCAGTTATGAAGAGAGGTAAGAAACGAATTACTGTGTCGTGCCATGAATATTATTGCTACAAACTTCAAATCAGACTTTCAGATAAGTCTGTACTCCTTCATACAGACAGACTTCTATAATAATATATAGTGGATATGCATGTTAAGATTGAAACTACGAGATTAGATTATTTTTGTAATAATGAAAAGACTATACGAGGTGAACTTTACCGATGAATCGTAGATAATATACAAAATGGTGAGAATAGATGCTATAAAATTAGCAAATCAATTGTGTTGCCTACAGGGTTTATTAGGAGTCCTAGAAATTTAACTAAAAGATATATGGATGCAATGTATTTAGTTCAAAGATATGAAAAACCTATTGTATTTTTAACAATAACATGCAATCCAAATTGGCCTGAAATTAAACAAGAATTGAGGTACAATGATAAAATACAAAATAAGTCATATTTGTTAGCCCAAATATTTTGAGCAAAACTTGAAGAATTAAAAATAGATTTGATAAAGAGAGAAATTCTAGGGCCTACAGCTGCCTATATGTATGTAATTGAATTCCAAAAAGATGTCTATTTCATGTTCATTTTATCCTGATATTTAAAACGAGTTTTAAAATTACTAATTCTACGCAAGTTGACGAAATTGTTTCTTGTGAAATATCATATCCAAAGAAAGATTCTCACCTGCATGCTACTGTGGTCAAACATCTGATGCATGATCCTTGTGGCCAATTAAATCCTATAAATATATGCATGGAAAAAACCATACTTGTAAAAACAAGAATCCAAGAGAATACATTTTGCATACTTCATTAGGTAGTGATTCATATCCACTTTATAAGCGTTGTGGCGATGGTGTTACTGTTAGGGTTAGAGGGTTTGTACTAGACAATAGATGAGTTGTATCATATAATCCTTATATTTTGGCTAAAGTATGACTGTCAGATTAATGTTGAAATATGTTTTTCTGTTAAAGTAGTCAAATACTTAAACAAATATATATACAAAGACATTATCGTGTTAATTTTACTGTGATAAAGAAACCAAGGAGCATTATATTGATGAGATTTCGAATTATCAAACCGCTAGATGGATATCTGCACCGAAAGCTATATGGAGAATTTTTAGTTTTGATTTATTCGACATATCTCCTTCTGTAGTTTCTTAGTAGTTACATATGGAAGATGCTCAGTTGATTACATATAATGAAACAGATAATTTATCAAAAGCTATAAATAAAGACTCCATCCAACGAACAATGTTAACTGAATTTTTTAGAATGAATATTTCAAATGAAAATGAACTTTACTTTATAAGGATTTTCCTACATACTTTGTATGGAATACATATTTTCGAGTTTGGCGTTCTAGAAAAAAGCAAAATATTATTGGTAGAATAGTTACTGCTAATCCATCTGAGGGCAATAGATACTTTCTAAGAGTTTTATTGAATCATGTTAAAGGGCCTAAGTCTTTTCAAGATTTAAGAACAGTTAATAACATTGTTGTGCCTACTTATCGCTAAGCTGCATTTTTACATGGTCTAAAAAGTGGGAATAATTATTGTGAAATGTATTTAAATGAGGCGATCACCTATCAAATGCCTATATCATTGCGTCGCCTATTTGCTAATGTGTTAATTTTTTGTAACCCTGCAAATCCTAGGAATTTATGGGTTAAATTTAAAGTATACATGATAGAAGATTTTTAACATACAAGCATAGTTTTTGGTACAAACATAAATGATTTTGGTCTGATAGATTTTGACGTTATTTAGAACTATGCTGATATATTAGCAAACATTATTTTAGAAGAGACTACAAATATTAATGTTCAGTGTGACATGCATTTTACAGAGAATTTAAATAAGGAACAACAATCTGCCTATGATGTTATTTTAGATCGTGTTGTAAATAATAAAAATGAAGTTTTTTTATTGATGGTCCAGGAGGTACTGGAAAAACTTTTCTGTACAAGGCATTACTTGCTGCGGTATGATCTTGACAACTTATTGCATTATTAACAGCATCATCGAGAGTGGCTGCTTTTTGATTGTCGGTTGGGCAAACTGGTCATTCACGTTTTAAAATTCCACTTCAAACAAGTTCTGATATGCGATGTTCAGTAAGTAAACAATTATCATTTAGTCAAGTTTTACAAATGACAAAGCTAATTGTGTGGGATGAAGCACCAATGATTAATAGATGTACTTTTGAAGCTTTGGATAAAAAGTTAAAATATATTACTGAATGTGAATTGTCATTTGGTGGAAAGGTTGTTGTGTTCGGGGGAGATTTTCTATAAGTGTTGCCATTACTACAAAGAGGAACAAAAGATGATATCATGAAGGCCAATTTAGTTTTTTCAGATTTACTGCAATGTTTTACACAACTACCGTTGATCGATAATATGAGAGCTAAATTAGATCTTTTGTTCTGTGAATATTTACTTAGAATTGAAAGAGAACATACATGTCACATGATTAAGCTTCCTTCAGATATAATAATAGATTTTGAGAGTGAATTTGAATCATTGAAAAAACTAATTGCTATTGTGTTTCCTAATTTTCACCAAACATATGGTGACAATTTGAATATTATGATTAACAGAGTTATTTTGACTCCAAAAAATGAACATGTAGATGTAATAAACAATATGTTAGTTAAAGAAATTTCAGGAGAGATATTTACGTATTTTAATTTTGATGAAGTAATTGATAAAATAGAAGAATTTCGTGAGGACTTTTTGAATAGTCTAACTCCAAATGGCATCCCTCCACTTGAATTTGTACTAAAAAGAAATTGTCCTATTATTTTGTTTAGAAACATTAATCCTTCAGAAGGTTTGTGTAATAGGACCAGACATATTTGTCGAAAATTTAAAAGAAATGTTATTTTAACCGAATTGGAATAGGTGAATATCGTGGAAAGCAAGTATTTTTTTACCTAAAATTCCATTTATTCCACTTGAAGGAGATAAGCATTCGATACCATTTAAGAGAACTCAATTTTCCATTCGTCCTTGTTTTGCAATGACCATTAACAAAGCTCAAGGTCTAACTTTAGATTTCGGTGGACTATATTTGCCTGAACCTGTCTTCTCACATGATCAATTATATGTAGCTTTATCTAGAGCAAGAACAAGAGAAAACATAAAACTTCTAATAAAGCCAATGGATGAAAAAAAATCGCACAATTGTTGCACAAAAAATGTAGTCTACCTTGAAATTTTGAATTTAATACATACTACTTAACAAGTCTATAATTACAAGTTTTGCTTAATTAGACGGTCAATAAATTGTTAACCTAAAAGAGGATATTTTCTCTGCTAATCCATCTTGTGTCAAGGAGAATAACATTGAGCTATACAAGGTTAGTTATTCTTATATGTTATTATGTGTTTCAATTATATTTTACTTGTTAGTACGATTTATACTTCAACATGGTGCATACAAAATGATCAGATCATTATCTTTAAACATGTCCTTCATAATATTCAATGTTCAACATATCTTTATTTATTTGGGTCTAAGTAGTCTTATTTTATGTACACACAAACTGATGTGACAAGATACCAATAGAAAGGATAAAAAACACAAGCTTATTATATAATATTCCAATCAGTATATTCTGATTATCTACTACAATTAGGACTTACATGAATGAAGAAAGTATTCGTTATTACAAATATATACCGCAATCTTTTGTCTATATATGCTCATCCTATTCGACGAAATTGATTCAATTGGATATCCCAAAACAAAGCATTCTATATATTTGAGCACAAAAATTTCACAATTAGGCTTGTAGAAGAAATAGTTTAGTGTTAGATTAAATGAATAAGTTCAGGAAGTTAAATATTCTACTAAAAAACAAGCTGCTTAAATGCTTACCCATTGTTTACATAGTTTAGGTAGGGTATAAACTCCTACTCCATTTGTTTATTCCTATGTTTCCTTATATCTCGTCTAGAAGAAAAAGTCGTAGTCTTCAATAATGCTTGTACCATAGTCAATGAAGCTTTTGCATGTGCTTTTTTACTTGATTCGGTGTGTGGACGTTATTACTACAATCATATATTTGGAATTTCTATTTAGGAATATTGACAAGGAAAAAGTACCAGCTATTGCCGAGATATGAGCAAGGAATTAATATATACTTACATCTCATCCAAGGATGACCAAATATAGGTGCTCTGCAATTCACATAACTTTGCAAAAAAGTTCCATCCGATTCACCTCTGATGGTTACCATTCCCGTGTCAATATGCCACATCATGTGACGAGCACATTCCATTTCAAATTTGAAATCCATAATTGCATATTCTTTTGAAACAAGCAGACAGCCATCATTCATGAGCTGCTTCAATAGTTTTAACTCTAACTCAATGTTATGATGAAATAAATAAATATAAATTAGATTTTATGTATCGACTATGAAATAAACTCTATTGTAATTCATAGACTTTACTTACAGCAATATTTATGTCCTGTGTTTGATCCATTAGAGTTTTCAACATGTCTCTTCCGAAAACATTGTTACTGACATTGTCCAAGTATGCAATGTATGACATAATTTTAATTAATTTCAAATAAATCAAAAGAGAATTTGAGCATTTGAGCTAATACAAGTACAATTACATTTGTTACCCAGATTGATTCTCTGATATAAAATTTCTAATTTTTATGTATCTTTCCATAGGATAGTCTTTCAGAGGACATCTTGAAGATGATGAAAATTGTATTTGTTTCCCCTTGTTTTTCTTCTCTTTTATCGACCTTTCAGAGCTCTCAATTTGTTCAGCTGTTGATATCTCATTTGGTTTATCGCAAGAAACAATACTTGTATCGAGAGGGACATCTTGTTGCATGAAACTTATGATGGTTTCCATATTTGATTTCCAATCAGATAATGTGTTCAGTATTTTCTGATTTTGTTCATCGATATAGGATCTCATTGTAATTAAACTGGTATCAATATAAGATTGCATACCCTGGTATCTATCTTCCTACCACTTCTGTAGCTGTTGGAAAAATTGCCTTTGGTTGTCAAGAATTATCTGATAATGATGTTGCATGTAATCTTCTTGCCATTTTTTTGTTCCTCAAATAACTGTTTTTGGTTTTCAAGAATCGTATGGTAGTGAGCTCTTGATTCTTCAGCAAATTCTGCCTTCAAGTTGCTATATACACTAGACACGTCTGATGCTATGTGTTGCCTGTAGATACCCAGCAATTCTTTCATTTTATCTTCACTAAGGGAGTTGGAGTCACCGGGAACAGAGTTAGACCCAAATACACGTGAAGATATAGAAGTATCGGAAATTGTCGTTTCTTGCACATATATATTGTCTGGGATTTGTTGTATTGCATTATCCAATAGTCCATTTACAATCTCATCTAATCTATTGTGTCCATTATCCACTAGCAATGAAAGAGTTCTGTACCATGGAGTTTGTAATTCTTCTTCATTAGGTTGTAGCACAACAATCACTTGGATCTGTAATCAAAATAAAATACCAAAATCGTTTAATTTAATTTTAAGATAATTGAAAGTGAGAGTAATTGTACATTCATAAAAACATACATTACGAGTAGACAAAAAATCCTTTATCTCTTTTTCAGTTACAAATTGGTTGGGTTTCAACTTGTACATTATTGAACTCTGTGGTGTTTTATGTCTACGACGTCCAAATTTCTTTCCAATATTTGGAAATACTTCATATATTCAATACTGCAAGATAATTAAAACTAAATATTATATGTATAAAAAAAATTTATGGGAATAAATTGTATATAATAAGTCAATACAAGAATATGGACTAATTACCTGGTATGCAAGTGGATACCCATGTAACGCATACTTGCATTCTGTTTGTTCATTCCGTTGCATCTTTTGCATTCTTTCACATTGTGATGCTTTCAGTGAATATAACAAGATCAAATATGCTTTGCGACCCCATGGATATGCAAGGAACTCATCCAGATGCTCAACCATGCCAAGAGTTCTATAATCAATTTGTCTTGCAGTAGGTGTCAACACACATTCGACCAACAAGACTAAACCAAGCTTCAATTTATCTCCTTCATGTTCGCAGGCATGGAATGCTTCAAAAAGCATTCTCATATTGATTCGTTTGTAACATTAAAGTACTATTTCTAAGATGATCATTTGTATCATCAATGTCCATGGATGGTTCATGGCAATGTAATCCAGTAATATGATAAAATTCTTGCATACCAAATCTGGCTATACGATCGTCTAACCTTACCCAAATTTAATCATTTTTTCCACAATTCACAAACCTTAATATAAATTCATGCACCAATCTACTACTAAATTGTACATTTTTTCTTTATAGAAAAACTTCATAAAGAAATTCATAAAAATTACTGCACATCAACGAAGATTGCTGATTTGAATCTATAAATTCTACAAATTCTTTAAGATATTCGAAATTTGGATACTGGATAATTATAACAAAAAACCATTGGTCTGGAGAAATTATGTATTCTATAAACATCTGCATAAATTATTCAAAAAATCATATCGTATTTATGAATGAATATAATAATTAAAAACAGATAAACTTTTATTACGAGTTCGAAATAGACATTATATCTTCATAGCCTATACATGCATAAGTATTGTAAAATCGATAATAAAATATCTTATCTCCATGTCTAGACAGTCCAGACAATCCGTGATATGAAATTAAGCATAGAACCACTATATCCATAATACGGAGGCCAAGGCTTCCTTGGCCTTCGTGATTATGGAGGCAAAGCCTCCGTATTATGGAGACCAAGGCTTGGCCTCTGTAATACGGAGGCTTGGGAAGCCAAGGCCTCCGTAATCACGAAGGCCTTGTTGCTCCGTGATTACGAAGGCAAGCCTCCATAATCATGGAGGCCTTATGGGTAAAATTGTTACTCATACACATAGATATGTGCAAATTTCTTCCATTGTAAATTTTTGGGTAAAATTGTTACCTTTTTGGCCAATTTCACAACTTTTCCTGTTTAAATCTGTGGGTAGTTTCTCTTACTAAATGTATAGACTTCTGAGATTCAATTTTTAGACAAATAATAAATGAACTATATACCAACCACAAGATAAAAAAGTGTCACATGTGAGCTGTATATTTTTGTTGTTTTATGCATTTGGTCAATAATTGATGAAATATTTTTGTTATATTATGAAATACAAACTATTCACATGTTTTATATACTCTCAAATCTATGTCTTTTTTTGAATTCTTCACTTTCATACACAAAATCATACATCAACATATTCACGTGTATTTAGATATTTACAATTCAATTTATTTAAGCTAAATAAATAACTGAATCAAATTTTCCTTCCATTACAATGAAGGTTTGTAGCATGAATTCTTTTTCCTCGGTAAATACAACTTCATTTAATTCAGAACCATTCTTGTACCATGTTTAAACCTTTGTCAACTCATGCCCACGTTCAGTCATTATGAATCAATAGAGTATGAGTATGATAAGATTTTATCGTGTACATCCTGATCTTTTTTTTTAATCCAAATTTTGACGTCATTTTATTAAATTTATAATAGGGAGAGCGAATAAAATATAGTTTTACATATTTTGCTCTGAGTGTAAATCCTTGGACTCACGCTATTTCTATCCTATCAGTAAATGAATATTACAAATAATCTCCATATCTCATGCAGACAACAAGGTATGACAGTATATGGCTAATGATAAGATTTTACGTAGTACATAGTTGTATTACTTTTTATAAAAAAAAATAAAATTAAGAATATTAGATAAAGTACGGGAAGCCAAATATGATATAATTTTACATGTATATGTATATCTTCTTTTATTTGTTGATTGGATATCTCAAACTCGTTTGCAATAGAAATATTCCTTTTGTGTGTATTTTGCCTTTATTATTCTGTTGCAAAATTGTCACAATGGAAGAACGGTACCAGCTTTTACCAGAAATTATTTCCAACAATTAAAAGTGGAAAGTTAAGGTGATTGTGGTTGAAAAACAATCACCAAAGCCTTTGAGACAAGGTAATGGAAGGCACTAGCATTTGATGTTAATGGATACTCAGGTAACTCTTCTTCATACATTTTTTCTTCATTTCTTTTTGTTTTTTGTTTAGTTTTTTCTTAATCTAAGATCAAGTATATTATAGTTATTTATAAGATTCCTCATCATTTTTCAGGCTAATACCATTCGGGCTAGCTTATATGATTCTAATATCATTGCTTTTGAGGATCAACTTGTTCTGGGAAAAACTTATGCTATTTCGAAAGCTTATGTGAAGAACAATAAGACAAACTATAGATATTCGTCTGGCTCTCTACAATGGACAATATCTGGAGAAACTCGTATCAAAGAATAGAATGAAGATAATCTAGAGTTTATATTCTCAACATACCAACTGACACAGTTTCATGAAGTCGAACAATACATGGATACAGATACTGATTTAAGTAAGACAAAATTTCATAGATTTAATAATCATATACTGATTCTACAGAAATATAGTTTCCTTCAGATTTGTACTACTTGTGTTCAGAAAAAATGAAAATTTGATAGCTCATTTCAAATTTCAAGATATACTTGCATTTGCAGTTGATATGACGCCCAAACGATTGATTCAATCCAAAAATGGTAGCCAAACTTGGTTGCAAGATATCATACTTCTAGACATGAATTTCAAAACAATGATGCTTACACTTTTGGATTCATTTGTTGACAGAGAATGCTTACTCATAGCAGACATTATTGACAAAAAGTCAGTTATCTTTGCAACCCGTCTAAAGGTTACATCATTTTTTGTGGTATGTTCTATTGTATTAATTAAACTCCTCTTAATGCATATGTTACATCATTTACATATTCTCCATATTGATATTATGTAGGTTTAAAATTGTCCACGAAAGTCTGTTCCACTTTCTTCATAAATACACCTTTCAACGCATTAAAACAATAACAGAATGGTATGTACAAAGTGCTATGTTTTATTATTCTTTTTTTTTTCCTTTCGATTATTTTTCCACACATTACTATTGGAGTTACTAATTATCTCCAAGTCTTTTGATTAGGGTAAGAACAAATTCCATTAAAATAAATGATTTTGTATTGAAAAAATCATATATGGACAAAAGCCCCACGAATCTTTCTCCACTTGTATGAAGTAAATTCATTCCTATTCAAAATTTTCAGGGACGCCTTCTAGCGGTAATGTTAAGGTTACGTGTACTATTCAATCAGCCTTTATTTATTTCCTAATATAGAGATATATATTACAAGATATACTTAATTATATTATTTATTTTTCCTTGTAATTTCTCTAAGTATATCCATACTGGTAACAGCGAAAGTTTTATTGGGTAAATGGCATAGCAATGACAGACAAAATTGATAGCAAATCTTGGAACATGGTCTGCAACAACTGTTTTAGATGGTTGAATGTTGATTTTGGAGAAACATATCTTTATACTTTTTGCAAGAATCTCAATCCCAAAGCTATTCCTCGGTAAAATATACTAACAATTAATTACCTTTCATTTTTTACTTCATTTGGTACAGGTAAAATATTTACTTATACATGACCTTTCTACTTTCCTTTATTACTCTTGCATCTACTAATACTGAATTCTTATTCACTTTAGGGCTAGAGAATATGTGCAGCTTTCAGATATCACAAGATTACTCAGTGCAAATGCGATTGGCAAACCAGTTGAGAAACTATTATTTACAACTTTACAGTCTCTGATGGAGGAAACCAAATTTGTAAGAAATCCAACCTAACTCAAACATTTTTCCATTCAATACATATTTTACTCGAATAATATTAATACAATTTAAAATTAACACAC